CAGCCGCGCATCGTTACCTTCAAGACATTGAAGGATAATGGAGCGGAAGAGTTTCGAGGAGACAAGATGGGGGAGCCCCAGATTGCGTTGGATTGGCTTGAGCAGATGGACCGGGTACTCAAGAATTTGAGAGTCCCAGATGCTGATCGCTCGGAGTTGGCGTCACAGATGTTCCGGAAGGGAGCATATGATTGGTGGAAGCGCATTGACCAGGATCCACACACGCCCAAGCCATGGACCTGGGATCGCTTTGATCGAGCTTTCACGAAGGAGTACGTCCCCACCCGGTACCGCGAGGAGAGGCGCGATGAGTTCGTTGCGCTTAAGCAGGAGGGGATGTCACTGCCTGAACTGAGACAGAAGTTCGACTACCTGTCCCAGTATGCGACGAGTCTGGTCTCCACTCCGGAGGATCATTTGAATGAGTTCGTCAAGAAGCTACGGCCGGACTTGAGGCCGTACGTCGCGCTGATCACGACGACAGATTTTAATGCGGCGTATGATTTGATTGTGAAGACGGAAAAGAGCTTGGACGATTTGCAGGCAACCAAGAAGGAGGATCGAGCGACGAAAGACCCGCGACCAGCACCGGGTCGAGCGGGAAGAGTTTTGGATTCGGGGGAAAGAGGTACGAGAAGGGTTCTTCGAGTGCACCGCCGCCTAAGAGGAGTAAGTCGAAGCCGTCTCCGTCGGCCGCCGCTAGCAACTCGATCAGAACGAGGAGCCACCCGCAGTGTGTACAGTGTGGTAGGCATCACCCGGGCGAGTGTTGGCTCGCCCAAGGCTTATGTTTGGGTTGTGGTCAGCCAGGGCATTTCAGGAGGCATTGCCCGACAAACCCTAGCAGCGAGCCTATTTTTCCTAGAGCTCCGGATCAGCCTGCCACATCGCATCCAGCACGGAGTCAGCAGTCTAGAGCCGCAAATAATCAGCAGAGACCACGTCTGCAGCAGTCAGGCCGTGCACCAGCGCGTACCTACGCCATGCAGGGGCGCACAGATCCTAGTCCCGATGTTATCTTGGGTACGTTCATACTATTTGATTCGGTTATGCATGCCTTGATCGATCCGGGTTCCATGCTCTCCTATATCTGTGTTGGCATGCATGCTAATTCTGCGATCGTGAGGAGTGACCTTGAGATACCTACCGTTGTATCGAATCCGCTAGGGAAGCAATTCCCTGCAGATTTGATAGAGCTACCACACAAGGAGTTTGATATTATCCTTGGTATGGATTGGCTCACCGAGCATAGAGCAGTAGTCGACTGCAGTTGCCGGACCGTACGGCTGAGAGCCGAGGACAGGAGCGACGTATCACTCTCCGGGGAGGTGTTCCCCAAGGCTCCCGAGTTCATATCGTCCATGAGCGCGAGGCGCTGGAGTCGCAAGAAGTGCGAGATGTTCCTGTGTCACGTTCAGGATATGCGAAAAGAATCGCCACGTCAGCAGGACATTCGTACGGTTTGCGACTTCCCCGATGTCTTTCCCGAAGACCTTCCTGGTTTGCCTCCGCCGAGAGAGGTAGAGTTCTCGATTGATCTCATTCCGGGTTCGGAACCCATATCTGCTACACCGTATCGTATAGCACCTGCCGAGATGAAGGAGTTGAAGGCTCAGTTGCAAGAGCTACTGGAAAAGGGATTCATCCGACCTAGCGTTTCACCATGGGGAGCACCGGTGTTATTTGTTCGAAAGAAGGATGGATCCATGAGACTTTGCATCGACTACAGACAGTTGAACAAAGCCACAGTGAAGAATCGTTATCCGTTGCCTCGCATCGACGACCTGTTCGACCAGCTCAGAGGGGCTACAGTATTCTCGAAGATTGATCTGCGTTCTGGATACCATCAGATTCCCGTTAAGAGAGAAGACATTCCGAAGACTGCTTTTAGGACACGCTATGGGCATTACGAGTTCTCAGTCATGCCTTTCGGATTGACTAATGCCCTGGCAGTGTTCATCGAGCTTATGAACAGTGTGTTCCGACCATACTTGGACCAGTTCGTAGTAGTGTTCATCGATTTTGGGAGATGTTGGGTTTTAGTGGAGCCATCCAGGGGTACATCACTGCAGACTTGGACGGATTAGGGTGTTACAGAAAGAACAAGTTGCTAAACTAGAAAATGCGGTGAAAAAATTTAATAAACCACATAAGGATCTTAATCTCGTTTTTGATTCTATGCAATACACTAAACAAGGAATAGGTTTTGGGAAGATTGATGAACCTAAAAATAAAGAAAAATTTGAGCACAACCGTAAACCACCTAGAGCTCAACCTAAGAAAGATAAAAATAAAAATAATAGACAACCTAGACAAAAGATTAGTCATGAACACGAGCATTCTAGGAAACCTAGGAGGAATTATCAAAATCATTTTATGCACAGAAATAATTTTTCAAATAGACAAAATAATGCTAGAACACCTAGAAGAGAGAATCTTCATAACACCCAAAAACCAATATTTTCTCAAAATAGGAAGAATATGGTTAGACCCCCTAGCTATTACCAAACTAGGAATATGTTCAACCCAAACGTAGTATGCCATTATTGCAATAGGGTAGGACATATAGCTCCCGTGTGTTTTACCAGACATAGGCACTTCACCTATAATGAAACACACAACATATTTAGTGCTAACAAAAAAAATCCTTTGGAAAAGGATAATCAAATCATAAACAATCTCCACAGGATAATGCACAAAAGAAACCTTATTATTTCTTCTACTTTGACGAAAAGAAGAAAGTCCACATTCCATTACCAGAACCAACACAAATCACACTAAGATATCGACTCTCCGTTCAGGTAGACTGGAACTTGCCAACCATGAGACGATGGGTTTGCCAAGGTAACTCCTAAACAACCATCTAATTGTGTGTGTGTGCGCGTGTGTAAGGAAACGAATTTTGGGTGTGTGTGTGGGCAATAAAGGTAAACTAACCCCCAAGGACCCATAGACATATTTTGGGTACCAAAGCGTTGCTTTTTTTGCAAGAATGTTTTGAAGTGAGGGAATCATGAAGTGGAACTAGCGATGGGTGGCTTATATTATCGCTGGGAGGGAAGTCTTTTCTTTCCAGAACCTCTCTACCCATCGATGACACCTTTTTCCCATCCCTGGGTGTTTGACATTTGTTTTAAAAAAAATTTCCAGAACTTCCCTACCCATCAATGGAAACATCCTCCCATCGCTGGGTGTTTGACACTATTTTTTTAAAATTTTTTTTAACGGATTTCAAAAACTCCCCTACCCAGCGATGGGATGGTATTAACATCGCTGGGAAGGGCACCCTCGTTGTTTCTTCTCTTTCCAATAGGCACCTTCCCATCGATGGGAGAACGCACACATCGCTGGGAAGGCAGCCTTGAGTTCTTCCTTGATTTCTAGTGGCTACCTTCCCATCGATGGGTAGATCCTTCCATCGCTTGGAAGGCTGTTGCAATTCAAAAAAAGAATAGCCGTTGGGCACCCAATTTAATGCCCAACAACCATATTTTTTGAATTCAAATGGTTTTATCCCCTCTCCCTATAAATATCCATCAGTTTTGGTCATTTTTTCACACCATTCACATCACAAATTCATTCCTTTAGCCTACTTTTTCATAATTCTTCATTCCTCTCTCAAAAGTCTCAACTATGGCCGGAGGAAAGTCGAAGAGTAAGGCTTCCAAGAAGAAGGGCCATGCTGAAGCCTCAAGCTCTCCGCCTCAACCCTTTCCGTACTTTGATGGATCCTTTCTCGAGTTCGGGTCGGAAGAGGAACTCAACCGGTTCCTCACACACTTTGCCAAGCGCCCAATCTCTCCGCACAGGGTGTTGCCCAAGTTGTACCCTCAACAAAAGGGGTATCACGAGCTCGACAACCAACTTCAAGCGTCGGGTTTGTGGCCCTTCGTCTCCAAGAGCCGCACGACCTTCAATCCAGCCTTCGTCCAGGCATTCTACTCAAATCTCTGCCATGACGGAGACACTATCTACAGTAGCATCAATCTCTACGACATAGAGATTGATTTGCCTACCTTTGCACGGATCGCAGGGCTGCCCATTCGCGGAGACGACATCGCCACGTACGGGGGAGACGATTGGATCCTTAACAACGAGGCGGTCGTCATTCGAGAGCTTGGGATCACCAACCTCATCCTCCATAGCGGCGCACCGACAATCCACTCGGCCCCGCTGGAGAAGCGTCTTCTACTCTACATCCTCACCCGGATTCTCTACCCCCGGGACGGCAGTCACACCTCGCCCTTCAACAAGGATTTGAAGGCGATTCATGCATTAATCCATGGCGTCTCCATCAATTGGGCAAAATTCGTCATAATACACATGGCGGATTGCGCTTCCCTCGTACGAAAACGTGACAAGCCCGTGTTTCAACATGAAGATTAAACGGCTATCTTCTACCGTTCCTCCAAGGATTTCAAAGGCTATCCTTGAACCTTTACCCAAGGATTTATACGGCTATCCTTAACCATTACAATGTGAGAATTTAATGGCTATTCTCGACCGTAAGAAGGTGTGTTTGAAGAATACAAAAGTAGATTCTACACAACGGCTAGAATATTAAAATGAAGAACAAAACTTAGCCAGTGTAGAAGGAAAGTATACTCTCTCAAAAATACAATTCAAACTTATGAATATGAGAGTATATAACTAGAAACACAAGCTCAAAGTGTGTGTATAAAAATCAAGAATTTAAAGCTCTTAAAATAGCCAAAATATTGAAAATAATTAATAAAGAATGAACACACTTAGAATAAGAAGAGAGGATGTTTAGAGCTTTGTTTATTGAAGAAATATAAAGGATTAGGCTTGTATTTATAGTGGAAGATGTTAATTAGCCGTTGGGAGGTGATTAGGGTTGATTTAATTCAAAATCACAAATCAGGAACAGTAACCCAACGGTCACGGTAGGCCGGTGCCGTCCACACGGTAGCATGGTACTGTGCTTACGGTAGGGCGTACCGCGAGTGGCGGTACCTGGATAGGACGGTATGGGGGTACCATGTAGGCGGATACCCTATCGTTTGGGCGGTATTGGGTACCGCTAGGGGTACCGTGACTCTGTTCTGATTTTTCCAAACTTCCCTTAATCCTTCGTGTTTTGAGTTTAAAACCTTTTGGATATTTAAAAATGTTTAAGGGATAGTTTTAAACATATTTTATGAGTGCTTTTGAGCTTGTGAATATAGGTATATAAAGTCATATCATTACATTGGTTTCTACCTATATTCTACGCTAGTTTAGTGTTTTGACTTCATTCTTGAGTACCGAATCATAATGGATTCTTGTTTTACCTGAAACACTTAAACAAACGTTAAGCTCTTATATTGTTTGTTAACATCAAAACATGGGGCTTAGAAAACCAAGGCTAACTGATATACCCCGGGCGACTACCAACGACTCTAAAGTCGTTAAGCAAATTAACGGAATAATGGCTAAGTGTTATGATTCCTTTTGGACCAAACTTATCAATCCTAAAACCCGCCACATAGCCATAATTTCCCTGAGCCCAACTCCCACTTAAAACCCAGCCATTCTCATCTAATCCAAACCCCAAAATATCCAAAGTAATAAATCCAAAACTACATTTATTTTCCTTCATCCCTGACCAAAAACCCCATACCATAACCCTGCCATTACCACTCCCTTACACTTAAACTTGGCTAAACAAACAGGCATAAAATCCAAGACACTTTGACCCACACACACACCCTTCAACCCCCCCATGTTTTTACCCCATATCCAGCCCAGGAAATACATCCAAATAACCTACCATCCCACCTTTTTCTCCTGCCCAAAAACAGCCCCACTAAAGCCAATCAAATGTGAATTATATTCACATATTCCCTCCTACCATTAATGGCCAAAATCCTACCCTACAAGTACAATAACCCCTGTGTTTTTCCCCCACCAAAAGAACATCAACAAGTGGCCATTAATTCCTTTAGTTTGTATGAATAAGAGACTTGGTAGTCTCCTTTTTCTATGCCTATATAAGCTCATCCCTGAGCATTGTAAACACACATTGTATTCCCAATTTCTAACTTAGTAATACACTTGTTTGTGTGTGCTATTTTAGATTTCTAAATCCATATCTTAAGAGTGGTTCTCTTGAGTGTGAGTTTTAGGTTCTAGTTATTTAGATATGTGTGTCATATCTTATTTAAATACTAGACTCAACCCCAAGTTAAGATAAGAGTGTGTAATATCTCTTAACCCCAACTTGGTAATATCTATCCCTGATTTCCTCCACCCTATATCCCTCCATTTCTCACTCTGAAATCCCCCTCTTTTCTTCCCTTAACCTAGAAAACACCCTATCATTCCTTCCCATAACTTCCCTACATAGCCTAGCCATTTCCATTCCATATTGAAACCTCGGGTAACCTTGATAATCGATTATCCTTCACTGATAATCGACTATCCAACACCCCTGAACTTCCTTGGCAGAATCTGAAACCCCAAATAATCGATTATCAACTATTGATAATCGACTATCCCACCCTTCTGAATCTTCTTGGCTTAAACTACACAATCCCACAATCGATTATTGCTAAAGTGACAATCGACTATTTCCCTTCCCTGAACTCCCAAAACTCCTTCCCAAGCAACTGAACCTCTTGTTAGTCGATTATCATAAATTGATAATCGATTATTCCTTTCTCCTGCAGTTTAAGAAGATTTGTCCCAAACTTAAAGCTTATTCCCGGAGCTCGGGTATAACACTAACAATAAATAAAGTGTTTGATAAATTTTACGATTACCAAGTTAATACTTTAGTCCGGAAGGGGATGTAGACCTGCACGGATTAGGGTGTTACAATCTGGTATCGGAGCAAATGGTTTTAAACCCGATCTTCGGATCAAAGTTTGATTTAAAATATATACATTATATATTTTGGGTAAAAAAATTTATCAATCACATTCACGACTCTCGCGTCCCTCTGCTCCAGGAAAAAGGTATGAGCATTTATTTGATAAATATTGACTGTGTTAAATTCTCATTAGATAACAATTGTTAAGTACTATACCGAAATAAGTTCAGTCGAACTTTCGTACTCAGTGAAGAGTAAACGAAAAATATATGACCCTTTGATACGTTATTAACGTACGCATCGCATCGCGAATGACGAAACTGATCTGCATCACAAAATTGTACGAAAGTGAGACGACTATGAAGAAACGATAAATGTTGAGAAACACCTGTGAAGCTGATGTCAAAAGATCCTCATGTGGACTCAAGATGATCTAAACGCTAATTCAAACATAAACGTTTAGAACCAATAAACTCTGTTATCTAAAGTATCCCGTTCTGATGTCTAACTCATTACGATACAAATATGCGATCATATCTTAGGAATCAAAATCGTTTGTTAAATGACAATTTCTTACAAAACCTCGTTAAAATACCATACAAGGAAATTGACATTATCCTTAGTATGCATTGACTGGTTAAACTTCGTTACTGTTGACAACTTGTGATGAAGAATTCTTCAACTGAAGACCGATGATGGTAACCTCATAGAGGTGAAAGCAAATCTGATTTCTAAACCGACCAAGTTCATTTCGAATATATATGCAAAAATGCCTCAACCATAAGAAGCATGAAGTCTATTCTTGTGATATGCGAAAGAAAGATCTGAGCTGAAGAAAAGTACCAAAGGTATGACACCTCTCTGATATGAACTTCATAATATCTCATCGTTCCGAGAAATTGAATTCTCTGTCAATCTTGATCCCAGAAAGGACCAATATTTGTAATTCTATATTGAACGTGTTTCCATCAATGACCTCCTAACAAAGAATCGTCTGATCAAGTGTTTCCTCCTTGGGAGAATACCTGTTTTGTTCACACGTGAATCAATGAGACTCTATATCAACTACTGTCACTTGAACAATTCATTATCCTTTACCTCATATCATGACTTATTTGATCAGCTTAGAGAATCCATTGTATTCTCTAAGATTGACTTACGGTCAGGATACTCACAAATCCTTGTTAAGAAACTTGAACAAACTGACGATCGAGAGTTGTTAGCCTTTACTATGTATTGACGACTTATTCGATCAAATTCAAATAACCTACTTGTTAGAAGCTATAGACCGCTCAACCTTGTTGAATGAACTTGTGCTTTGTTATGAAGCGATTAATGAAGTAATTTACTCGTTCGTATTTGCTGTTGAAAGATCGCGACCGTGGTAACGATACAAAACATGACGTGAAACAGTGACACTAACAATGAAAGACTGAAGAATTAAGAAAATATAGCTCGCACTGGCCATACAACGTAATATGATATTTATGGATAATATCATTCCGACACAAATACAATTGGGATTACATGAAGTAATATTACAAAAGTAACTCCAAATCTAAGCCCCTAGAATTTGCGAACTCGTCATAATTAGCACCAGGACCCGGAAAAGCTTTAGCAAACTCTAGTTTGTCTAAACGCTCATCCACAAAGAAAGAAGAGATGAACAGTTTTCTCTGATTCAAAGCCATGAAGTTCTGCCTCACCGCATCATCTAGAAACTTGATTAGGTTATTGAAATAACGTCAATGTTCAAAAGACCAATGGGTTTGCTGTGTAACCCTTCGGATGCCCATGAGATCAAAGTGAATAAACCTTCCATAGTGTCAATCCCTCCAGGAAGTACGATGAAGGCTTCCACAATATGATTCATCTCGAAATACTTATAGTAATTGCTGGAAACGATGTACTCTACACCGTACGTAGGTCCGTAAACCTGTCGTGCTGCTATATACCCTGGTATGAAACCTCTGACTCTACCACCATTGTTATAGACTATTGAAGCAACAACCCCTTGAAGGCCAATGTTGCCTCCTCCATAAGTAAGCCTAATTTTTCGCCTTACCAATTCTCGTCCTAAATCTACCACTGTAGCCATGAACCTTGGATTGCTACCAAGAGCATGACTACCAAGCAGACCAACGAATCTTATGGTATAAGAAAGAGCTCTAGAAGTTCCTTCCATAATGTGAGAATATGAGATACTCTTTCCATAATCGTGATATATATAGTCTCTGAAACCTGACCATTGATGGAAAGGTAATTATCACCAGCCAAAATACGTACAGTAAAATGGATTCAATATACCTACAGACAATAACGTACTCGCTAATACTATATTCTGCTGACGATATGACAAATTGAGACTCATGAACAATTAGATTCGCTAACCTGAAAAACGTTCAAATTTGGAGACGAAAAGTCAAAGTGTCTAAAACCCTAAGATAATGACCATTTGAGTAACTGCCAAAGAGTGAAGCATTGAAGATTGAAGACCTACGGTTGATGACGATAATTCATAAATACTATCTTTGTGTCTTATGATTCATATCCTTGAGATACTCAAACTTGATGTGTTAACTACACCCTTGAAATATCTCACTTGATCAATCTTAAAAGGATTGAATTCCATTTTTTGTATCAAATCATTGAAAACTTGTCTCAAGTTATGGTTCTTCATTAAATCCCAAAGATGCTTTATGATATCAATCTTCGAAAACTATACGTTGAGAACTACGTAAGTTGATAGTAAAACTACCCTGACTTGAACGCTATCCTAAAACTCTCTTTGTGAATTACAAAATGGTTGATGCGATTACGTTATGTATGAAGATTATTATCGATGATGATCAAGAAACTCTGTTTTGACCTTGGCAAGGGAATGTATGTGCAGAACCAGAGAAGATATGATGTCACAAAGACCGATATGAGATTTTCAAATAAAAGTCTTGACCTTATAGGCAAAATTGATCAAAGGGACTAGTGAGATTCCTTACTCTATGAAGTGTGAACTAGATCACGTGTTGAAGATATGCTTCTCCTTCTCAAAAAAACAAGATCAGCCATAGTGCTACAATCGAACCTGTCGCTATCATATCTAGATATGTTTTCAAATTAATGAAAGAAATTTGAAAACGACAAGTCATACATGAGACGCTACTTGAACGTCATCACCAATGAATACAAAGACTCATTAAACGATAATGAGAACTACTATGAAGATGAACGAAGAAATATTTTGACAAGAGATCGATAATGACAAGCTACAGTACAACCAATCGACATTACTTCCTCATAAATGATGACAAATTCTATGTTCTAAAAGCCATATACTGTTACTTACGAGTCATTGCGGAAGTATGTGAATGATGTGAAGATGTTTTGATTGACTTGAAAGATTACGCTACGATGTATGGATTGGAAACGAACTCTAAATTCCCAACTACACCTAACGCGAATCTGATGATTTGAAACTGCAAATGCTATTGAAAAACCTTCAATCAATGGAATATCATTAATCAACGTTGCACAATTGGGAATTGTGTTATGTCCAATTATGTCAAGTATACAACCTTATACACAACGGAGGAACCTTAGTTGTTGATACTGAAGGACCGCTGAACACCTTGTTTAATCAAAGATTTTTTCGCTTGAAGAAAGAACGAGTTTGATAACATTGTCATTTTGAGAATACATATTCGTGTGGACAATAACATAATTATGGTTTAACCGAATAAACATGACACCCGTGATTAAGTATGTTCACTATGAAATGTTGAACGTTGAGCCTTACAAAAATTTCGAGGACGAAATTTCTTTAATGGGGGTATAAATGTAACGCCCCAAAACTTAACCTAAAATTTTTAATGAATAAATATTCAATTAGTCAAATTTGTTTTTATTAAAATAAATTGTTGTTGGGCTTTGGGCCGAAATAAAATGTGTTTTGATATCCAAATTAGGATAAGTCTCATAGAAATAAATTCAACATATTGACTTATTGAGTGATCTTAATTGGGAACCTAAGTACAGACCCAAATTAAGAATAAATGAAGAATTTGTTTATGATGTAAATATTGTGATGATTTATTGAAAGAAATCATGAGAATAAGTTATATGAATTAAATTAGAGAGCCTTTTTGGAATGAAGGTCAACTAAATCAATTTTGACTCTGTCAAAGTCAACCACCCAAAAAGATGCTGTCAGAAAAAGTATTTCAAATAAATACAAAAACTATATCGTTGAATAGAACATGACTGTCTGATTGCAACGGTGCAAACGGAATTCAATTCGGATAAAGTTGGACCAAAAAGTGTACCCGACTGGAACCAAAATTAGTCCCAATCAGGGACGATGCCTCCTCCTCCACTATCGCCGAACGTGAATCTTCCTACGCAAAACACACTCAGCATTTGTTTCCTTCCTTCTCTTCTTTCCTATAAGAGAAGAACTCAATTCTCTCATTTCTTAACCAAATTGAATAAACTTAGTGTTAAAATGTTTCTCAGAGTAAGGAGATCATTCTACAATAGTTAGTTGCCGCCGAGGTTGCCGCAGCAAGCCGTGGTGTTCGCCGGAAGTTTCGTCGTTAAATTGCCGGAATCATCGTTTAGCTTCGAGGTAAGCCCGTAGATATATCTAATGACTAGAATGTTCATATAGGTCGTTTCTACGTTCATAAATGGTTATTTGGTTGAGTTTTGTGTTTGACATGCTTGAAGAACTAAGAATCATAAACCTTGAATTTGATGTTAAAACTATGAATTAATGATGCCAAAATGATCTATGAGCCTTGGAGAACATTTCTATATAGTTTAATTGAAATTTGGTAGCTCAAAATGATATTTACAAAGCTTGAACCGAGGTTGAAGACAAAGTACTGTTCCTGATTCGAATGCAGCACGTAGTAGCGGTAATGCACTACCGTGCGACAGTAATGCACTACCGTGAGACAGTAGGGTGGTACCGCCAAAGGCCATTTTAGCGTGTCCAGAATCTTTATGTTCGGAAATTAACTCCAGAAAATGCTATCATGATATTTTTCCACTCCAAGACAGAAATGAAACCATTTTTAAAGTAAATATAATATTTTGATTAATCCAAATATGTTATTTGATGCATGACGGTAAGCTAGGGTGTTAACACTCGAAGCTAGACCGCTAATTGCTATTGCTTTGAATGTTACGTTAATTGATGATTATGATGTATGACTATTGTGAATTAATGACGAGGATTATTCTGAATAAAATGATGATTATGAAGTATTGAACTAGAATCAAAATAAATGGGTTGATGAAAAATGAATTGTATTGTTAAGGCTATCTAGAAGACCTCTAAGATAGACCTCAAATTAGAATGGGCTTGCGGGTATAATTATGTATATTCAGTGGCCTTGGGTAAAAACGTACGTACGGGATCCATAAACCAAACTAGAGGCACTCGTTTGGGGATACCACCCAACCCGACAGTTAGTATTCTACTGTTCGGTTTTCTGGACTTGTACCTTAAGCGAAGGCTAGTTTAAGAGTTGGTAAATTAATCGGAAAATATGCACCTTAAATTAAGGACCTAGCTTAAGAGTTGGTTAGAAGTGCCTTAAACTAGAATAAGTTTAAGAGTTGGTAAATATCACAAAGATTGGCTTTAGACTAAGCATAGTTTAAGGATATTGTTGAATATTGAATGTGAATGTTGATTATTGAAATATTGAAATAAAAATATTGAGAATATCATGAATGACTTATATATTGTGTGCATGATATCAAATGATTGTTTGTGAATTGAGATTCAATTTATGTGGATGTTCGACGCTTTAGATATGCTTACTCAGCTTCACCGCTGAGCGTGTAGTGTGTTTTATTTGCTACACACAGGTTAATAGAAAGAATGATGTGACGTGATTCTGGAGGCAGACGGAGGCGAGATTATCGGAATGGATGTGATGATTTTGAATTAAAGAACATAAATAAATTACGTTTGTAATTATGATTTGTTAAGCTTCCACGGTATTGAAAACTCTGTACTGTATATGTTAAGAAAAATATTACTGTGATAAGTTTGAAAAGTTTTAAATTTTACGATTACCAAGTTAATACTTTAGTCCGGAAGGGGCTGCAGACCTGGACGGATTAGGGTGTTAGAGAGATAGAGGAGAACGCCGATAAGGGAGTGAGGCCTTCATTCCTGAATTTGGTGCTACGTTTGGTGTTGTTGCTGGTGACAGGGTTTTGAGATAAGGGCGGGTTGGGGATAGGGTGGCCATGGCGACCGCCGGCCGGTGGAGGAGGGGCTGGAGAGGCCTCCTCTCCAAACTTAAAGCCCTCAAAGTGGACCTTAAGACCTGGAACCACAGAGAGTTTGGCAATATTTTTGACCAGGCTAAGAAGGCTGAAGAATGTGCCTCTCTAACTCAGGAGGCCTATGATACTGATCCAACGGATGGGAACCGAGAGATTGCTCAGTTGGCGAATGCAAAAATGATTCTTGCAGTCAATAAGGAGGTGGAATTTTGGAAACAAAAGGCTAATAGTAAATGGTTAGAGAAGGGAGACGCAAACTCCAAAGTTTTCCAGGCTTATGTCAGAGGGAAACAAAAGAAACTTTGCATCAACCACATTATTTCCCAAGAGGGGGTAGGCCTTCACAACAGAGAGGAGATCAAGGAGGAAGCCATCAAATATTTTCAGTCCCAATTCAGTGCTGAAACTGCTGATCACTGCCCCAACCTCATGCCTATTCTCCAACATATCCCTAAGCTTATTTCTGCAGAAGAGGATGCATCTATCACAGCCCTACCTGACATGGATGAAGTTAGACACACCATCTGGGAGATGGATGCCAATAGTGCAAGTGGACCAGATGGATTCAATGGTAGTTTCTTCAAGTGCTGCTGGGAGATTATACAACATGATGTTCTTAAGGCCTCGCAAGATTTCTTTTTAGGGATGCCTATTCCCAAAGGGTATGGTAGCACCTTCCTCACCCTCATTCCCAAGACAGACCATCCTAAAACATTTGGTGACTTCAGGCCTATCTCTCTCTCCACATTCATGAGCAAAATCAACACCAAAATGTTGGCAAATAGGCTCAAGAAGCTGCTCCCTAAAATCATCTCTCATGGCCAAGGAGGCAATTCACCAAGCTATTTTTAACCAAGCTGTTTTTAACCAAGCTGCATTCCAGAAAGGAAAAGCCATTGAGGACCACATTCTCATGGCCAAGGAGGCAATTCACCAACTGGATAAGAAAGTTTTTGGGGGCAATATCATCCTCAAGATTGATATGGCAAAAGCTTTTGATAGGATGCACTGGTCCTACCTGGAATCCATTCTTAAAGGCTTTGGCTTTTCTTCTCACTCGGTTAAACTTTGCTTGGCAAATTTGAAGTCCACATTTATTTCCATTCTCCTTAATGGAGAACCAACAGGTTTTTTTCCAATGACTAGGGGAGTAAAGCAAGGTGACCCCTTGTCCCCTCTTCTCTTCATCATTGGAGGTGAAGGTTTATCCAGATTGCTAAACCACCATTTAAATACAGGCTTTATTAAAAGATACAATATGGGATCCCTCAAATGGGTAGGACACTTGGTTTATGCTGATGACCTCATGATTTTCACCAAAGGAGAAACCAGGAACCTACTTAGGATGAAGACTTTGCTGTTGGACTACCTTAGAGCCTCTGGACAGCAAATAAACTTCACTAAAAGCCGTTTCTACTCCTCCAAAACCACTTCTAAAGAACAGCTCTCTCACATGGAGAAGATCTTGGGAATGAAGGCTGGCTCCCTTCCTTTCACCTACCTGGGTGGAACTATCTGCAAGGGCATCCTTAGGAAAGAGCATTGCAACAACCTCCTGGAGCACTTTGATAAACACATCTCCTCATGGTACAGTAAAGTTCTTAATCAAATGGGGCGCCTGATCCTCATCAAACATGTTTTATCCTCCATCCCCTTACACATTTTGGCTGTCCACACCTTAACCAAATCGATTCATGCTAAACTCAACTCTCAGATGGCAAACTTTTACTGGGGACAGAAGGAGGGCTGGCCTAAGTACCACTGGGTTAAATGGTCACACATCTGTATTCCTAAGGAAGCTGGGGGCCTAGGAATCAGAAATCTGGCTACCCTGGAGGATGCGTATGGAGCAAAACTGTGGTGGAGATTTCATAATGATTCAGGCCTTTGGGCTTCTTTTATGAGAGCTAAATATCTTAAGCATGGCTGTGTTAGAGAAAAGTTAACTGACTCACCCACGTGGAAAAGGATTTGTAGAGTCCATGATTTCTGCACTCTTTTTGCCAAGGGTGAAGCAGGCTCTATGTCTTGGAACAATGGGCTTTTCTCTCTAAAGCAGGCCTACTCCCTTAGAGAGGATGGTCACAGTAGCCTCTTCTCAACCAGATTTGTTTGGAACAAGACCCAGATACCAAAGTTGAGGACTTTCATTTGGAAATGTCAAGCAGGTTGTTTACCATTTCCCAACAATCTCCAACGATTTAACCTCATGCTCCCAAGTATTTGCCCTTTCTGTGCACAACATGAGGACAATATNTCTTCTAAACTGCTACTTCAGCAAAAAGATTTGGGACTACTTCAATCATCTGGCAGCTGGACCTTGGATTGCAACTCCACTCACCTTTAAGCAAAACCTCCTTTTGTGGTGGATCTCAGGTAACACAAAAAGCTTCAAGGGGTGTGTTAGGCTTATCTTGCCAGGGATCATTTCTTGGTGCCTTTGGAAAGCTAGGAATGTATACATCTACGAAGATAAAACATCCACAATAGAGGGTGTTATTCAACAATGCTTCAAACTTCTCCAAGGATGGTGCTGGGTGAACCGCAACAAAAAATGGATGTGCCATGATGCTGACTTCAACGGCTGGGGGCTCAATACCTATTGGAGGACCGGAAGAAATTCCACTTTTCCTGTTTAGTTTCGGTTGGGCTCAAATTCTTAAAGGTAGAACGGGAATTATGAAAACTAATGGCCTGGAAGCCTTCGGCTTAAGTGACTGCAGGAAGCGGGGAGGTTTAAGTCGGGCATGAACGTGGAGGTTTGGCATTGATGTTGTATGGGGTAGTTGTGTGTTTTGTTTTCATTCCTTCTTTCGGGGCTTCGGTCTAGTCCTCCCCGAACGTGTGTTTTCAACTCTCTTAATAAAAATAAAAATTTATATATATATATATATATATATATATATATATATATATATATTAAAGGATTGTTTTATTATAAACATAAAAGGAGAAAGGTACAAGAGGGGGTTGGCCGTCCCCAACACAAGGCCAAAAAAACCACAAGAGAAAAAACCAAAGCACTAAAGAAAGGAACAGACCAAAACAAAAGGGAAACAGTACAACCCACAAACTAGCAAACAACACTTTAATAATTGCTCACTACCAGCGAGAACCAAAACAGAAGCATGGCCCGAATCTAGTCTTGCATTCTGTTCCTTCTGCTTGTAAAGATCAGCATCCAGAATTTCCACCACATCCACATAAATCTCCTAATCTCAAGAAACTGCTGCATTGAACATTGAACAAGAGCCCAACATTGAAAGGAAATTAATGGATCCCAAAAAAGGCCTGGATAGAAGATGCTCCCCGTTCCATCAATCTTAATCTAGACTATCCATAATTCCAAGAGATTTCCCTAAAAATTGCTAAGTCCTAACTGAAGCCCTGCCAAAGTGCTGCTTCCAAAACCCAGCTTCCCATTCCAAGCTAGAATCTGAAGTTTGGGGGCTGGAGCCAATATAAATGGCCTTAACAACTGCAAGATGGCTTCTCTAAAATTTTGAAGAAAATATAAACGATAACAAACCAAGAAAACACACAAAGAACTTCCAAAAAGTTCTTATGAGTAAAATAAGGGTAATCATAGTAATTGTAGCAGTCCACTTCAACCAAATTAATACAGGTTATTGCGAGCTTTCAAGTTTGAGAGGCGTTTGCTCCTTCTTCTTTGGTGTGGAGTATCCTGGATTTGCAAGCAAATTTGGTTGAATTTTTTGTTATTTCTCTTCATGTTTGCCTCTTTATCGGCAAGCCAAACTTCATCTTCAGAGCCTCTGTCTGTCTCCCATTCCTCCTCGGAGGAAGGAGATTTAAGATTTTTGCCAGAGTGTTTGATCTCAGGCCCGGAGTTATAACACACATTGTAACCCCATTGAGATGATTCGAGGTCATTGTCTGAATTTGAGCGTCCTAAGAAGTGAGGGGGGTTGGCAAGTGTGGTAGGATCAGAAGTTCTAGGAGTGAAGTCTTCAGCAGAGGCTGAGAGTGAGTTGGCACGAGGATGGGGAAAGGATGTGGGAGGGGGAGAAGCTCCATTGGCTGTAAACAAGCTTGAGGTTTGAAAGGTAACAGTTTCTAAAGGCTTGTGGGAGTCAAGACATGGTAAATCAAATGAGAGAAGAGTTGCAGAGATGGAAATAGGTGGTTGGTATGTTGGTTTAGAAACCGAGGCACACACCACAGCCATATCCAAAAACAGAGGGGGAGGGGGAACGAAAGTTTAAAGGTAATCAAAAGTTTTCTTAAAATAAGAGGTAAAGGAGGCAAAGCCACCCTTGAGAGCCTTCAGGGATGAAAACCCAGATTTTCCCATCCTGGTGAAATTCACACAGTTTGATGTGGTTCCTGAAACTAGAGGATTGAAACTGTAAGTGTAACCGTCTATTCCTTTCTCTACAACTCGTTGACCCCAGCTTCCCCTTCGAGTTGACTGAACACAGGTTCTCCAGCAACCAAGCGCAAGTGTCCAAACCAAGCCATATATTGTAGCGTTTCCTCCCCAGAAATTCATTAATGTAGATCTTCTTGTTGTAAATAGAAGGAGTAAGTAAGAAGGTCTTACCTTCGAGAGAGAACCTTAGATGAGGGTAAGGTCTCAGTTCCACATGGCGTGCTTGGTCTGGGGGTGCAATTGGAAGTGAGGCCGACTCGATGGCCAGGACTGAGGTGGAAGAGAGTGCCCCTGCATCAATCCTTTCGCGGTTTGTGACTGGGTGAGATTGCTGAGGGATTTCGGAGAAGGATGGTGAGTGAGAGCGTTGAATCGGCAATTTGGTCTGAAAAGATGGTGAGGATAGATTTGGACGAGTGGAGGCAAGCGAGAAAATGGTCTGAAGAAGCGGCGGAAGGACCACCGTCTGAGGCGGCGCTGAGCTCTGACCTCTCTCTAAAACTTTATATATATATATATATATATATATATATATATATATATATATATATATATATATATATATATATATATGTATATATATATATATATATACATATATATATATATATAATGTCTTTATTAAAGAGGAAAGAGAAAGAGATACATGGGGTCAAAACGAGGAAACAGTAAGAGCCTATATCACTAGATAAAACAAAACTCTATGACTATTACTCCAAAAGTATTCTATTCCCAAGTCTTTGAAATCATCCTAGATCATCCACTTTTTGTTCCTGTTAAGCCATGCCCATGCTTGTAGTGATTTTATGCATGCTTGGAAAATTCCCTCTGCCGTTGGTTTGAGATCGTTGTAGATACTGGAGTTACGTGCTTTCCAAAGTGACCATGTGCAAAGGCCTGGTAAGATTAGACGGAGGGTTCCCTTGAAGTGTTTGGTGTTGCTTCCAAACCACCATGCAAGTAGATGTTGGCGTAGTGTAGTGTCCTTCTTAACTCTAGGTCCATTAGAAAGAGTGGCCAGCTTGTTCCAGACCTGAGACGAAGTTGGGCAGTGGAGTAAACTGTGGTCCATATCCTCATTGTTGTTTTGGCATAAAAGACAAATGCTTGGGAGGGAGGATGCAAATCTGCACAGGTTTTGTCGGAAAGGTAGTGCGCCAGTGAGAAGTTTCCACAAAAATATCTTGATTTTTGGGATGTTTGAGCTGTGCCAGATGTATTTGCATGAAAGCAAATGAGGTCCATTCTCTTGAACTACTTTGTATACTTCCTTTAGGCTGAAATCTCCTCCATTACAAAGCATAGCATTATCCTTCCAGGTGGTGTGAGAGGCGGCAAGTGTATCTAATCTGCAGATCCTCATCCATGTGGGAGAGTCTGTAAGCTTTTCCTTGAAGATGCCTTTTTTCATGTATTTTGCTCTTACATAATGTCCCATATTCCCATGTCATTTCTTGCCTTCCACCAAAGCTTGAGTGTGTACACTTGATGTTGGTCCTCCAAGCTTTTGATTCCCAGTCCCCCCTCTTCCTTTGGCTGCGTTATTTGGCTCCATCTTATCCAGTGGTATTTCTGTGCACCATCCTTATGTCCCCAAAAGAAGTTAGCCATGTATTTGGTTAGGGTATGGCTAATGGATTTGGGAAGGGTGTGCACAGCCATGATATGTAAAGGAATGGAAGAAAGGACATGTTTGATTAGGATTAGCCTGCCCATCTGATTTAAAGTCTGCTGTACCAGGAGTGGATATGTTTTTCAAAATTACCCAGAATGTCCTTGCAGTGTTTCTTTCTCAAAATCCCTTGGCATATTGGTGCTCCCAAATAGGTGAAAGGCAGATTTCCTCTACTGATTCCTAGATCTTTTTCCATATTTTGGATCTGGGAGTTAGGAGTTTTCTTGGAGATATAGAATTTACTCTTGTGTAAATTGATCTCTTGGCCTGATGCTCTAAGGTAGATATCAAGAGTGGCTTTAAGCTTGAGGAGGTTTCTCGTTTCACCCATGGAAAAAATCATAATGTCATCAACATAAATTAGGTGTGAAGGAAAAGGGACCTGTCATGAGTTAAATCTGAGGAGGTGATGTGTGTCCATCTGCTGATTGATGAGTCTACTGAATCCATCAGCTGCTAGAATGAATAAGAGAGGGGAGAGGGGGTCTTCGTGCTTAACACCCCTTTCCATTTTGAAAAAATCTGTAGGCTCACCATTGAGTAGGATGCTGAAAAAGGTCCCTTTAAGATTAGCCAACAAAAGTGCAATTGAAAGATTGTTGAAACCAAAAGCCTTGAGAACAGCTTCAAGATAATCCCAGTCAAGTTTGTCAAAGGCTTTTGCCATGTCTAGGATGTGGACAGCTTCTAGGATCAGATTACCCCCAAAAACCTTCTTGTCTAGGATGTGGACAGCTTCTTATGCCATAAGGACATGGTCATCTATGGACTTACCCTTCTGAAATGCAGCCTGTTCTTTGGAGATCAGTTTGGGAAGTATTGTGTTGAGCCTGTTTGCAAGAAGTTTGATGTTAATTTGGCTCATGAAGGTGGAGAGAGATATTGGCCTATAATCTTCAAACCTTTTTGGATTCTCTTTTTTTGGGATGAGGGTTAGAAAAGTGCTTCCATAGGCTCTTGGGATGCAGAGAGAACATCCTTTTTGATAATGTCCCAAGTTATTTTGAAAAAATTTCCATTATATCCATTTGGCCCACTAGCTCTATTTGCATCTATCTCCCAGACAGCCTGTTTTACTTCCTCCAAGGTGGGAAGGGCACAAATAGTAGAGTTATCAATAGAGGATAGGGCCTGGGGGATGAGGGGGAGAATAAGGTTGAAGGAAGGGTGGTGGGATTTTTTGAAGCTGTTCTCAAAATAAGAGATTGCTTCAGATTTGATCTCTGAGGGGTTGCTAGTACCAACTCCATTGGATTTGATGATATGAGATATGGAGAGTTTTTTCCTCTTTCCCTTGACAAAAGCTTGGAAGAATTTGGAGTTTGAATCACCCTTTTCAAGCCATCTTATATTTGCCTTTTGTTTCCAGTATTGTACTTCTAAGTTGGTAGCAAAAATCAGTTCTGCATTGGATTTCTGCATTCTTTCTCTAATTTGTTGAGTAGGATTAAACTCAAAGTCATTTTCTGCTTTCAGTGACTATTCTTCTGCTTTCTGTAGTTGGGAAAAAATGTTCCCAAAAGTTTCATGGTTCCAGGCTTTCAGGGCTGCTTTTAGGCAAAAAAGCTTGTTGGCGAACCCTCTCATACCTCCAGTGGTTGAGAGACTAGTCCAAGTGATTTTAATCTTATCAAGGAAGGTGTTATGAAGTGTCCAGGCATTAAGAAATTTGAAAGGCTTTGGTCCTGAGGAGGTAGCCTTAATGCAATCTACCAAAAGGGGTTTATGATCTGAATTGAATTTGGATAAGTGCTTAAGAGAGACTTCATCAAAGTAGGAAAGCTGTAACACCCCAACCCGCATAACCCAAATACTCGGATCAACGAACCAGGTTGTCACTAAATTGGTATGCAGACACAATAAATTTTCAAAACAATTTAAAACATTTAATTCAAAACAATATTTTAATATCCATCGGAGTTAATAAAACGGCGCGGAAGCCTTTAATACTTAATCAAAATACAACTTTGGGTTCTTGCCCTTAAAAACATAATTAATTTAAATGCAATAATTAAACTAGATAGCTCCTCTAGCCAACATCCATCCACCTCTCTGCCCTCGCTGCCCTCGAGGATAATTCCTTATTCATCATTCATGTTACCTGCGTGTAGCAAATAGGAAAAAGGGTTACACGCTCAGCATTGAAGCTAAGTGAGAACTATCTAACGTTTGACTACGCACATAGACGAACCCACTAGCTCATAAGCTCTTATATGTATGTATGTGTATATATATATATATATATATATATATATATATATATATATATATATATATATATATATATATATATATATATATATATATATATATATATAGGCAAAGAAATTAGGTTTTATTAATGAAAACGGAACGAGGGGATACAATCATGGTACAAAATATTTTTAACAACATCAGGGCAAAGGTTGATATGCTAGTATTCCTTGAAAGGGGAATCTAAAGTCCTGTCCACCTTTGCGAGACCATCTGCGGCAGAGTTCCCTTCCCGTAAAATGTGAGAAACTTGAATTCCATTTTGAAGGATGAGTTGACCCAAAACGTCAATTGGGAAAGAGGAAACTGAATTTTTATTGAACAATGGAATCCTGGAAATAATAGACTTAGCATCAGTCTCATAAATCAGAGAATTGGAAATTAAAAGGGCCCATCTGATTGCTTTAATAGCGGCATCCACTTCAGCTTGGTAGGCACTCCTAGAGTGTAGTTTGGAGGCCCCACGGACCAGTCTTCCTTCTGCATCTCTTAATATAGCTGCACATCTTTGATGTGTTGTGGTATAGGAGGCATCAACATTGAGTTTAAGCCTACCCATAGGAGGTGCCTTCCATTTAACCATGAGAACGTAGTTGTGAGATGTGAACCTGGGTATAAGATTATGTGAGAATAACCAGGAGTCAAAATGTTGAAGTTTGCGGGGAGTCTTGATGGACAACCATTGTTTGGTATACGAATCAATCTGATGAATAAGACTTAAAGTGCTAAACTTAGAACATTTCCCATAAATGATCTCATTCATCTTTTTCCAGATGTGCCACGTGATTATCCCTGGCAGATGTTTACGCAGTAGCCCATAAAGGTTAGGTGTGTCCCTCAACCACCAGTTCATAAAGTGTTGGTTGATAGTAGAAGATTCTGTGTGGAGGAAGTTTAAGCATCTAGCATAAGTTTCCAGATGATCCACGATCTTTTGCTATGAGGCTTGAATACACACACACACACACACACACACATATATATGGGATCGACTCTAGTTAGATGACACTTTATGGTAAGATGACATGCTACAGTCAGATAACACAAAGCTCACCACTGCCAACTGTAAAGCTCACCTAGACCAACTGCAAAGCTCACCAGAATGTATGGCAAAGCTCACCAATTTTGTTTCACACTTAGAATTTTTTTTGAAAAAAAAAATCTAAGGGGTGCTGACTTTGACCCATGTCGACCACTGAATTTGACCGCTGATCGCCGCCGCTGATCACTAGTCAATGGTGGTGGAAGTCACTGTTTGATTTTTTTTCAATTTTTCAACCTCAAAATTTGGGGAGCTTTGTGTGTATGTTTCGGTGAGCTTTGCATTTTTGTAAGGATCTAAACTTTAAAATTTTAAAAAATTCAAAGTGTGAAAAAATTTTGGTGAGCTTTTTCATACGGTTTGGTGAGCTTAGCAGATGTCCTTGGTGAGCTTTGCAATGATCAGTGGTGAGCTTTGTGTCATCTGACCGTAGCATATCATCTGACTGGAGTCAATCTCTCTCTCTCTCTCTCTCTATATATATATATATATATATATATATATATATATATATATATATATATATCTAAATAGAGGAGTTTTATTAATTAATGGAAACGAAAAGATGGGTTACAGTCTTGCAACAAAATAGTTCTGACATCTTTAGGGCACAAATGGAAATGAGCATAATCTTTAACACTATAGGTGACATGTAAGTCAGCCTTAGCAAGGGCGTCCGCTGCGTTGTTGCCTTCTCGAAGGACATGGGAGGGCGTGATGTTGTTGTGGAAAATAAGATGGCCTAGGACGTCTATAGGAAAGGTGGAAATAGAGTGGTGTGCTAACTTTGTCATTCTGGAGGTTATAGCCCAAGCATCCGTTTCGTAGAGGAAACTGGAGGAGAATTTCAAAGCCCACCATATACCTTTAATGCCTGCTTCTACTTCAGCTTGGTAGGAGCTAGAAGATGTGAGGTTGAAAGTTGCTGCACGAATAAAGGTACCTTCGTAATCTCTGAGTATTGTTGCACCACGCTGCTGTGAAGGAGTGTAGGAGGCATCTACATTGAGCTTGAGGCGTCCAATAGGTGGGCATTTCCATTTAACTATCCTGATGGGGTTGTGATTTTGAAATTTAGGGATCGAATGATGGTGGGAAAGTGATGGATCATTAAGTTGTAATGTTGGTAGACGTGGGTATGTCTGCTACTTCTTATGTATATGTATACCAAAAGATCGACTCCAGTCACATATATGTATATGTATACACACACATATACATATATGTTCCCTTGTCTGCTACTTCTTATGTTGTGAGGAGTCGACTGAAGAGTCCGATGCAGGTGTCCAATCCCCTTGGGCGCAAATGAGTTTACACCACGTCTACCAACATTGCCCCCTGAATGTTCGAGGAAAGACGTTCATCGCGTATCTGGTCCAGTTGTCCTACAAGGAATTTGATATTATCCTTGGTATGGAGTTGTTTGCGGTGCATCAAGCTGCAGTCGTCTACAGAGCGAGGACTGTTCAGTTGAGAGCCACAGACGACGACACGTCCGTGGTATATGGAGAGCTATTTTCGAAGGCACCAACATTCATCTCCTTTATGCAAGCCTTGCGTCTGATTCGTAAGTGTGAGCATTCCTCTATAACATTCAAGACGTCTGGAAGGAGCCTCCTAATTTGACGACATACCCTATGTGTGTGGATTTCCAGGCATGTCTCTAGATGAGCTTCTTGGTTTACCTCCACAGAGGGAAGCAGAGTTCTCTATTGATTTAGTTCTCGGTACAGAGCCCATCTCTGCTACTCCGTATCGGATGGCGCTTGCAAAAATGAACGAATTGAAGGTTAATTACAAGAGTTGTTGGATAGAGGATTTATCCATCTGAGTGTGTCCCCGTGGGGAGTACTTGTGCTCTTCGTGCAAAATAAAAATGGGTCCATGAGACTTTGCATATACTACACACAGCTCAACAAAGCCACTATTAAGAATCGTTATCTGTTATTGTGCATTGACGACTTGCTTGACCAGCTACGTGGAGCAACCGAATTCTTCAAGATTGACTTGACATCGGGCTATCATCAGATTCCGGTCAAAAAGGACATACCCAAGACAACAATTTGGACTCATTATGGGAACTATGAATTTACCGTGATGCCATCTGGTCTGGGCAATGCCCTAGCTATATTCATAGATCTGATGAATAGCATCTTCCGACCGTACTTGGATCAATTTGTAGTAGTCTTCATCGACATCTTGGTTTACTCAAAGATTCCCGAAGAACATGCATGAACATGTACCATCAACGACATCTTCATGCTTCATAGTTGTATATATTCCCACCATTCAAAATTAAACATCCTATTTGATTTTTCACAGAGTTTAAGAAAACAAAAAATTATTTGGTGTAGACTAATGCAAGAAGAGAATTAGTGTGGATTGCCCATTTCATTCATTGAAAAAACGTAAACTTTATTTTAGAATAAACAATAAAGGAAAATGCAAAGTTTATTTTGGAACAAAGGTATGGAACTAAATTTGAGTTCTAGATGGAGCGGGATGGAGCATTGGTTAGTCTTGACTTCGTTGTAATGAACTCTCATTTCAAAAAAAAAACCCTCAATTCAAGAAAAAACCAGGTGCACCCATTAGCCAACGCGTTGGAAAAAATCATGACCATACCACATCCAACGGGGGGGGGGGGGGGGGGATAAATGTACGATGTTTAACCTTTTTTCCAATCACTTCATGGGGTAAAGTACATGATGATGCTTTGGAGTTGAGATTACTTTCTTTTCACTAAGGTAGTGTTTGGCAACTAGCATTTCATTTCAATTCATGCATTATAATTTCAAAATTTAAAATCTTGAAATTCAAATGACAAGAGGAGGAGCATGGATTTCAAATTAAGCTTTGTTTTGAATGAGAAGAATTTGACTCAAATCCAAATTTGAATTTTTTAAGTTTCTCAAAATGGGATTTGAGCTAAATCCGGATTTGAAATCCAAATCCATGTTTCCAAACATACCATAAAGTTAAAGAGATACTCGAAAAAACAGTTCATTCATGCAACTATCTCTCACTTTTGGCTGAAAAGAATAATCAGAGACTAGAGAGACAAATAGGTATGCATGCAACATCACTTCTTTCCTGATGCTTCCGCCGGTGTGTTGGTAGTCATCTGGTCAACAGCATGCACGGTTTGCTGAAGTTCTTCCCATATGGCTTTGTATACCATCCTCTGTCTGTTCACAGCAGATTGCCCCTCAAATGCCGCAGAGACAACGTTGATGCTGCGATCAAGTTCCATTCATGCATACAATTAAGGGCAATGAATTGGGAAAACGAAAACTCAATTGCAGGACATGAAGTTGCAGAGCTAACAACTTAGCATGCGTTGATAAGATAATTAGGGGTGTCTGGTTCAGGGAATGTGCGATTACTTTGGTTAATAGGACTACCTGTGAGCATGTGCAAGATTACTTTAAGGGTGTTTAAGGTCATTTGATATTACCTTAAACTGTTTGATCCGCGAAATACGATATTACTTAAGTAGTCAAATTGTCAACCACAAATTTGAAAAAGTCTAAAATATTACGGAGTATCAATGTAATCCTACAATACAAAAGAAAATGGAAGTAATTTCGTTCCCCTCCCTTTCACTCCAAAAATCCACACATGACGATAATATTACATTACCAATGAAATTTGAGCTAAACAACATTATGCTACATTACTTCGATAAGAAAGTAACGTCATATTTAGCAAACCAACCACCCCTAAAGGTCAATTATGCATCTAAATATCGAATGTTTATAAATCAATATATGAGCGAATACTATGTCAGCCAAATGGATCCTCACCTGACATGCCGACCATCACCATTAAGGTCATTAACTGTAACTGATTCTGCATTCAGTTGTTCCTTGATCTGTTTATATCAATTGCAAGAAAAATAAACCATTTAACTATGAAGCATGAATGTAGGATAATAGATCAAAAGAAGAAAAAGAATCACTCAAAACAAGATACTCTTTTACCAAAATTCCAAAAAGGTCTGCATCTTTGTACCATTAGATTCTGAAAAAACATCCACACTGTTCAATATTCTCTACTCTCCACAACCGACTTCTCTCAAATAGTCTAATTAGAGATGGCTTTTTTACAAAGCTTTATACACTCTGAACCTTGAATGTGATTCAATGTGAGCACTTGACAAGAATATTCTGCCTACTGATTTTAACTGGCACTTGATTGGCTACTAGTATTCTACTATAGAAACTATCACTTTTTTTAAGAGGATAGGTACCCACCACACCGCCGGAAGAGGCTCAATAGTACTTACAAACCCCAAATAAATACATTCTACACATTGGTTTCTGTTAAATTTCCATATACTTGTCATGAGAACCCATTTTGTTCATAGGTAAGAAATTTGCATTTTCTTTCAATACATTCAAAAAAGAGTCATTCGAAATACACAAGAGAAGCAGTCAATTCTTAACAGTAGATTTTGTTTTGAACATCCAATCCTCGTATTATACAGGGTTCACCCAGATATTTGGTAGTTTTTAATATGGTTCCGAACTCGGATTCCCAACTACCACCACTCTAGATTCCCTGAATCCTACAGAGTAAAAAGGGATGGACAAGTTACGTCCATTCACATTTCTACCACTGTCACACAAAACAGCAAGGGGAAAGAAAGTTAAGACAATAAAACACCGAGGGAAAAGAAAGTTAAGCCAATAAAACTAAAAGGTGAATGCTGAGTAAAAGAAATGAAAAAAGTCAAACAAAGCAATCAATTTTCCACTTTCCTGAGCTTAACCATAATGACCCAATTTCTGGTTGCTCCCATTGGTCAAAATATTTATAAGAAACACAACTAGAGATTGATTTTAGCCAGATCATGGCATGTATAGATGGGAGCTGAACAAAAACACGGAAGTCCATAATATGGGGATGGGGGTAGAGCATTTAACAAGCGTGGAAAGAAAGTTGCATGTTTCCAAACAGATTAAGGAAACATTTACCAAGCTTACAAGTCTCACACATTTATTATGCGATTACCGTACCTAGATCAGATTAAATCACAATAATTCGACAAGAAGAAGGCAAGGAATGTCTTTCACTTTGGGTTCCCAATAATCTTACCAATACCCCTCTTATGGCCTTATTGAAGTCTAAATGTCTCTATTTGCACATTTCTATCTATCCAACAACTCCAAAACCCTCAAATAATAATTTTTATGCTTTACGACTAACCTGTTAGGCTAGACCCCTCAATAAAAGAAAGGGCCAACCCTAAAAGGCAAAGGGCTTTCCTAATAAACACTTCATCTTTGAATATTTTATCCATCTAAATACATGCAAATTTTCTCTTTATGATATACTCCATAACTACTTAAACTATAATGATACTTTGAATTGCTGTGCACATTGAATCCTAGAACATCATTAAAAATAGCATATGGAGTTCTTGCTAATTATACCCAATGTCGCAGCTAGGGTTGTAAACAAACCGAATCGAATATTCATGAATAATATTCGTATTCGTTAAGATAAAGTGATATTCGAATTCGAATTCCGTTCGAATATTTTTTAAGATTCATATTCAGTTCGTTTAAAAATTCGGTTTGTTTAAATATATTCGGTTCGTGTAAAAATATTCAATTCATTTAGATTTTAAAATATTTTTTAACCATTTAATCTATTTAGTAGCTATTATTTGTCTATATAATATATATATATATATATATATATATATATATTATTTGTATAATTAAATTTATGTTCTGAATATATTTGTCAAACTCACGAATCGAATACCTTTGATTCATATTTATATTCGATAAGGATTCGAATATTTATTCAGATTCGTATTCGTATTCGGATTTGAAAACAACGAATACAAATCACCTCATACGAATACGAATCATGAACCGTACTAAAAATATTCGATTCATTTACAACCCTACTCGCAGCAGAGCCTATGCAATGTACTCATACACATATACTCGTGCTATGAAGTCTTGTAAAATGACTTTTCTATGCTTATTCAAGTATACGATTAACACTTTGTTTGGTACAACAGCCGAAGAGATTTTAATATTACAACATTTGGATATATTAGACGGGAAAAGAGCCATTTTAGTTCTACGTTGTTGATTTAAGAGGGAGGAAAGAGAAATTAACAACAAATAGACCACACTCTCCTTGTCAATTTTATATGTACCCCGATGTAGCAACAATTATACGTGGTAAATTTGACTCAAAATAAATAATTGTTATCTTTTCAATACATTTATTCACAAAAATATTTTGTACTCCCTATATCTTTAAATGTAGATTGTCTTTAATATTTATAAAGCATTTAACTTCAAATCATTTTTTGAGATGTGTGTTGGAGAGCCACCCGAAAATATATTTCTTTAACTTAGCAATTTAGACTTCAAATGGTGATGTTTCCCGCTCCAAATCCCGCAATTTCGGAAGGGATCCATTTTTAATTACCCAAGAAGGGAAGGGAGCAAAATCCATCTGCTCCCCGCACATCCTCTGAAACCAAACATAACTTAAAATGTAATTCTTTTGCATTTTGCAAGGCCTGTTTATCCTGAGTATTATTTAAGATAAGAATTTAATCTAAAATGAGTTAAGCTAAAATTAGTGTATACTCCGTAATATGGTACGAATTTGTATTGATTCCAAAATCAAAACATACGATTAACAAGGCAAAAAAAGAAAAAGGATTAGCAAAACTAGAAATTACTTCGAAACTAAGAAATGTAATACGGAAGGTCATAACTCATAAACGAGAATGATTGATCGGACCTTCTTTTTCATGGACTGCATCAGAGGAGAATCGATTGTGCGGTAACAATTCTCGTCGGCTGTTGATCGGGTACAGAATGTCTGACGCTGGAAAACCAATGGAGCCGCCACCGTGATAGGATAAAGGAGCTTTTCCGACGCGATCGGGTCTGCTGCTAGGAGTTTAGTCATTGCTGCAACTGAAAACCGGACGAGGTTACTTGAAAAGCGAAATCGCGAGGCGCAGAAGATCGCCATGCCCGGCCGAGTAAGCAACGATTTCGTCATCGTCATAGCCATCGCCAGCTAACTAATGGGCTTCTTCTTGCTTAGGTTCAAAGAGGAGTTCGGGAACTTATTTCAAAACATGAGTAGTGGGTAAGGCTAGTCAATACTTTATTTAAAAAAGAAATGGAATCAATATTACTCCGGACGATTAACCATTACATATGGTAATGTGGAAGTTAAAATGGTAAGCGTCCGAAATTATATTAATATAAAATTTACGTTTTATAAGTATAATTATTATATTTATAAAAAAAAATTTATAGTGTCCGAAATTTATACTAGCAAGAAATGTAAGTTATAAAAATTTTTTATAAAATAGGCAAAAATTATTTATAAAAAATATTTATATTTTAATACACGCCAATCAATGCTATTCAAAACGTGTATATGATTATTCTTAACATAATTATATAATTATATGATTACCGTGTGACTAAGTTATATAAAAAAACGTGTGTATGATTATAGTATAATATAATTATGGTATATATAATTACATTTATGTTTAATAACAAGAAAGGTAATAACCAAAAAATGTAATAATTATTACTCCGTGCAATTATTACCTATATAAATGGTAAGTGTGAAATTATAGTGTCTGTTACAATAAAGGCCCAACGCTAGAGGGGGGGTGAATAGCGTTTAAAACAAAATCGCAGGAAATTAAAACGAGAGCGTTAAAGTAAAAAGCGTAAGGAAGGAACACACCGAATTTTATCCTGGTTCACCACACCGTGTGGCTAATCCAGCCTCCCGAGAGACTCTCTCGAGCTACACTAACTCCGTTAAGCTTAAGGGTGCTTAACAAACCGATACAATTTGAGAACCCGAGTCACACGAGCCTCAACACCTTTGCTCGGAGATACCGCACTCCAAGACTTCTCACGAAGGAACAAGGAACTTCCTTCGAGTTTACAACAAGGGAACAACCTCCCTTAAAGTGTATGAAAACACTTAAACACTCAGGAATAAAACTCTCACAAAGAGTAGATATGAGTGAACTAGTAAACGCTCAAGAACACGACAATTTCTTCAAGAATTGGCTCTCAAATAGCTAAGAAAAATNAAATTTTTCAGGGACACAGGCTGATAGTCGATTGTCAAACCATGATAATCGATTATCCAAAGATTCCCTGTCCAAAAATTTAAAATTCTATCCGTTGGAGGACAACGGTAACCCAGATAATCGATTGTCAACAAGTGATAATCGATTATTGGTCCACTCAGAAGATCCTGGGTTTTGGCTGCAAAGGCTGATAATCGATTATTGCAAGGCTGATAATCGATTATTGCGTGCTTCAGAACTTTGGAAGTTCAAAGCTGCAGTGGCTGATAGTCGATTGTCACTAAGGTGATAATCGATTATCACCCAGCTAAAGTCTAGCCAGCTGAAACCCGTTTTGAAAAACCAAGGTCCAAAAACGAAGTGTTCCCAAAAGTAAAAACCAAGTTTGAAAAACATTGTATATGGTATAAAATAGTGAAAACAAGACTTGTTTGGTAAAAACCAAGTCCTCAAGGTCGTAAATCACGTGCGTACGGTTTTGACCGTTTTTCACCTGTTAGACCGATTGACCAAGATACAAAAGTGGTTTTTATAAAATAATTATTTGGAAACATTTAAAATATGCTCAGAGATAAAAGCGAGGTTTAAAACATTGAAAACCACCGAGTTGGTTCGGGCGCCAAAAACCGAACGCCGAACACCGAGTGCCGAACACGGTACACCGACTAAGGTGATTTTGGTTCTGAGCAAGGACCAAGGATTTTAACAATAAAAAAATTTATCTAAAATGATTATTTTGATGCATAAAAACATTTTATGATATTGTAAAATAATTTTGACTTTTTGAGAACCGAGACTTGAATTGATTATCGGTTTTGATCACAAAAGACCGACTCGACTAAGTCTTCAATTCTTGATCTTGTCCTTGAGTCTTTTTGGTCATGTTCCATGCCATTCTTCACGCCTTGAGTTATTCAACGAAACTCTTCATATCCATGGCGGTTTGGCAATTATCAAAACCTGTCAGAAATGAACACGACTTTAGTTTAACGTACAAAGTGTGTTCCAACAATTTCCCCCTTTTTGATAATGGCAAACAAGATGGGGATATGCATAGGGTTTTGATCTTTTTGAAAAAAATATCTTCCCCCTTAAAAAAATTCCCCCTTAAAAAAATTCCCCCTTAATATATGCATAGCCCTTATCTTCCCCCTTTTGACATTAACAAAAAGATTGTTAACAACAAAAATCATAAAGATTTTTATTAATTAATTAAGGGAAATAGCGGAGTACATAACGAAAGCATATTAAAAGATGGTAAAATAAGGAAGAGAAGAAAGTAGAGCTAGAGCTCTAGAAATCCGGGGAAAGATCATTGAGAAGTTGTTCTTCGTCAATGTCTTCTTCTTCTTCTTCATCTTCATCACCATCGCCATCATCATCATCATCATCATCTTCTTCTTCTTCTTCTTCTTCTTCTTCTTCCTCATCGTCCACCTCGTCATCTCTACCAACGTTTTGAGTCCCACTTTGTTCACCTCCGAAATTCGGTGGAGGAACGTAAGGGACCATTTGAGCGTACGGGTAATTGACAAATTCAAAATACCCGTGAAGTTCACGGCTCAAGGTATTGACGTTGTGTGCCGTTTTGGAGACGTTGGTGTCAATCCGAGAGAGAGTAGCGGTTAAGGCTGCCATTTGCTCGGCGAGAGAAGGATTGGTCGAAGTGGTGGTGGCTGAGGTAGTGGCTCTCGGTTGGCGGCGTGGACGAGGCTGTCGAAACGGAGTCTCGTCGGTGCCCGAGTGGAAAGAAGATTCATCAATCTCCCAATGCTTTGTCCCCTTTATCTTTGGCCCAACATCGGTTTTGATGTTGTATTCTTCAAGAATTGCCATGACAAGGAGGGCGTAGGGTAGCGGCCGGTTGTCAGAGGTGGCGTTGAACATGTGGATCATCACAAATTTACACCAATTGATATTGGCGTTGTGAATTATCGCATGGATCGTCTTCGTGTCTTCTTGGGAGAGAGTGGTGTGATTGAACTTCCTGGGCTTGAGAATCCGTGTCAAAACATAAAAGATGAATCGAAACACGGGACTCATGGAAGCAATCGTAGGGCGCTGCTGTTGGGGAGTGGGTACGAAGTGTCGGATGCCCACTTCCTCCAAGAGAGCGGTCTCGTTGAACTGTGCTCCTTCTTCTCCGACGTAGAGCCCGAGATCCTGTCCATCCCGTCGAAGCCCGGTGAGGATTTGAATGTTTTCCTCATTCAAATAAATGTCCACCCCGTTGACGTTAGAGATCAATGCTCCGTCCTCATCCTTTTTCAAGTTCGAGTAGAAAGCTCGAACAAGAAAGGATTGATAGTTGACCTTCTTGATGTAGAGGAGATCAAGGAAGTTTCCACGTTCGAGGATAATCCGTGCCTCACATGGAATGGAGTCATGAATGAAGCGGGTGGTGGAGAATCGGGGAGGGAGAATCTCCCGGTGCTCAAATTTCTCCGAGAACCGCGTCGCCTCTACGTTGTCGTTGAACCAAAGGAACGACCCGTCGAGGTACTTGTGCGCCGGTGGTGGAGGAGCCGAGGAAGAAGCCACGTTCTTGCCGGTGCGGGATCTTTTTCTTTGACCTCCTGCCATTTCAACAAAGAGAGAGAGGGAGAGCAAGACAAAAAAAGAGAAAATTGCAGAAATTTGGAAAGAAAATGAAGAATAGGAGCAAGAATGATGAATTGTGATGAATATTTGGAGAAAGTATGATTTGAGTGAGTATAAAATGAATAGAGATCACCAATTTATAAGGGAGTGGGCTGGAGATCCGTTGGGGAGTTCAAAACATGCATTAATTGCTCTCCAAACATCTCTGCAATCGTCGTTGATAGTCGATTTACACTCCCTGTAAATCGATTATCTGAGGCTTCAGATTCTCCGCCAAAGAAACTGCAGGCTTCAATAATCGATTTCTGCCTTGGTTGTAAATCGATTGTTGGAGAGGATTTGCCTCAAATTTCTGAAGGCTTTAATAGTCGATTTACATGTTTTTTGTAAATCGATTGTTGATGTCTCCAGCTAATTTTCCTCAAACTCCTGCAGGCTTCAATAGTCGATTGTCATGTGTTGGTAAATCGATTGTTTTGCGCCTGACTTCAAATAAAGTTCTGCAGCTCCATATAATCGATTATCATGACTTGGAAAATCGATTGTTGGAGTTTGCGCCTGAGTTGCCTTAAACTTCTGCAGGCTCAGATAATCGATTATCTTAATGGTGATAATCGATTGTTTACTCCTTCAGCTTCTGTGCTCTAAACTTCTACAAGCTGTGATAGTCGATTATCACAAGCCTGCAAATCGATTTACACTCAGTCCTGGAACTAGAAATCGATTTCTTTTGTTCCCCCTGACTTTGACACCTACAATCAAAACATTTTGGTACCCATTTGATCTTTTGGGTCCTTGAGGATTAGTAACACGACTTTTTAAACTAATAAACACACGCACCCATAATCACATACACATGGTACGCAAACACACACACACATGTACCAACATGCGTGTTTAAGTGTTACCTTGGCCAACTCGTCCTTTTGCGGTTGGCGGGTTCCAGTCTACTCGAACCGAATGTCTATACCTCGGTTTGATTTGTGTGGGTTCCGGAAGTGGTATGTGAATCTTCTTCTTTTCATCATAATAGAAGAAGTAATATGGTTTCTTTTGCGTTGATTCCTGCAGGGATTGGTTAGAGTTCGAATATCCTTTTTGAAAGGATTTCATTCGGTTAGTTCCATGCAGAGTGTGTGTTTTGTTATACGTGTAATGCCTATGCCTACTAAAACACACGGGTGCTATATGACCTACCCTATTGCAATAATGACAAACAACATTTGGATTATGCATTCTCCTAGGTTGATAATAG